TGGGTCACGTATCCTCACATGTCTGAGCAAAATGGTGCAATAGAACATATGCACCGACACTTAATAGATTTGGCACTTGTATTGTTAGCTCAAGCCTCTCTTCAAGTTCATTTTTGTTCATATGCAGTAGCTACTGCAGCTCATCTAGTGAACATGTTGCCAACCAAAGTGCTTGACAACATTTCCCCGTTCGAGAAGCTATTTAATAAGAAACCAGACTACAAAGTACTACGTGTGTTTAGTTGCAGGTGCTTCCCTCACCTACGAGCATTTCAACCATACAAATTAATGCCTCGATCCAGAGTATGCACGTTATTGGGTTACAACACTCAACATCGAGGGTTTCAGTGCCTTAACTCCAATGGTCGAGTGTTTATTAGCATGCATGTTCAATTTGATGAGTTTGTTTTCCCTTTTGCAGAGACAAAGACTACTGCATGTCATTATGCTCAGCCTTCTTCGAGATCAGCAACTCTTGAGATTATTGCTGAGCGTCACAAGACGTGTCCTCAAGTAATAGTGCCACAACATGCGTCCACCAATGCCACTTCACATGTAGGTACTGTGTTGAGTGAAGATAGTCACGACTCCTTGGTGGTCGGAGTTGATTTGAACAATAGTGATAATATTCCCTCGCTGTCTGCTGATGGTCCATCTTCGAATGCTGGTTCGAGTAGTAGTTGTAAGAACAATGCCGATGTATAGCCTGTCAATGAAGCCTCAGTTGAGTCCGCTGGTGAAGCTTCAATTGATGTTGTACCTATTACCAACAATCATCCCATGCTTACACGCAGTAAGTGTGGTATATTCAAACCGAAAGTGTTTGTTAGTGAGGTTGATGTAGCAGTTTCTACGGATGCCCATCAGGCTATGAAGACGAGTAACTGGGCAGCTGCTGTTCAGAATGAACTTACAGCCTTACAACGAAATGGTACGTGGTCGTTGGTTGCACTGCTAGCTGTTGGGTGCAAATGGTTGTTCAAGTTAAAACAGAATTCGGATGGCACCGTTAATCGTTACAAGGCTTGCCTTGTTGCAAAGGGCTTTTCACAAGTACCAGGGCAAGATTTTAAAGAAACCTTCAGTCCAGTGGTCAAATTTATAACGTTAAATGTTGTGTTGTCCCTTGCTGTCACAAACAAGTGGCCCCTAAGACATGTAGATGTGAACAACGCCTTCTTAAACGATGATTTGAGTGAGGACGTCTTCATGCAACAACCACCTGGCTTGAACAAACTGCTGCAGATGGCACTAAACTTGTGTGCAAACTTTATAAGGCTCTTTATGGGCTACGCCAAACACCAAGAAATTGGCATTCTAAGCTGAAGGATAGCCTGCTGCAAATGAGATTTCGGCCATCGAAAGTTGATGTTTCATTGTTCATCGCTCATGCCCGTGAAGTGTCAACATATGTGGACGTCTATGTAAATGACATCCTTGTTACTGGTCAGTCTGTTGATGAAGTTGAACGAGTGGTACAAATGCTTCATGATAATTTCTCCTTAAAAGACCTTGGAGACTAAAGTACTTTCTAGGCATTGAAGTTCAGAGATGTAGTGATTCCTTAGTGCTCAATCAAAAAAAGTTTGTTTTAGAATTACTGGAGAGAACGAATATGTTAAAGGTTACACCAACTGCCACACCTATGGTTCTCAACAACAAACTCTGTAGTGACGAATGTGAACTATTAGAAAATGTGCAAGAATTTCAAAGTATAGTAGGGGCATTATTGTATGTTTGCCATACAAGGCTAGATGTTGCCTACAGTGTGAGCAAGGTGGCTCAATTTATGCATGCACCACGAGAGTGCCATATGCTGGCTACAAAACGCATCTTACGTTACCTAGCTGGTACTGTTGAGTTTGGACTTGTGTTTTTACCATCCAAGGAAACAATGCATGTAAAGGCCTTTGCTGATGCTGACTGAGGTGGATGTGTTGATGATCGACAATCCATGACAGGTTATTGTGTCTTCGTTGGCGGAAACATGGTGTCATGGACTACTAAGAAGAAAAAAGTGGTTTCTAGGTCAACCATGGAAGCTGAATATCAAAGCCTAGTTGATACAGCGGTAGAGGTTGCTTGGGTAGATACGCTTCTAACTGATCTAGGAGTGAAACGATATGAATGCCCTATCATCTGGTATGATAACACCAGTGCAATTTCATTGAGTGCCAATCCGATCCATCATGCGCAGTCGAAGCATGTGGATTTGAATGTTCACTTTGTAAGGGAAAAGATTGCAGCCAACTAGTTTGCATTAGCTATGTTCCTGCTGCACATCAAACTGCTGATGGACTAACAAAACCATTGACTAAGACAACATTCATCACATTTCGAGTGAGAGTAAACGTGATACTGCTGAAAGGAGAAGAAGAGGAAAAAGTATGGAGAATGTTGAGAGATTATGTGCATGGTGTGTAAAGTGTGCACGTAATTAGTGTGCTCTCAGTCGTATGCAAGCAAAGCCTTAGGCTGTTAGTCTGTTAGTCAGTTAGGTATGCTGTTAGCAGACGATTTCCAACTCTTGTAGCTATAAAGCTGATATACTCAGCTGTGTAAAATGGATGTCCCTTGTTCCCATATGTAATGGGGTAAGGGGGAGGTAAGATAGTAGGCTGCCCCCAATACTAGGTTGAGAGCAGCTTCCGTAGAAGACCTCCAAATTATGAAATGTCCTCCATAAGACTCGATCTCACGACCTCAAGATTAAGAACCTTGTGCTCTACCAAATGTGAAGAAAAATACCTAAAAATTTGTGACTCATACTGAGTTTCTAATAAGAACAACACCATGTCCGTTTTGGTAATTCTGTGATTATGATCCCACGTTTCCAGCCTCCAATCACCAAACTGCTGTTCCAGCTGCTTTGTCAAAGACATAATTAATTGGTCTGTCGTGATCCGAGTCTGACATGCTCATCCGAGATAACGAGATTTGAATTAATTCAATCGATTTATTAATTATTTTTCAATTATAGGTGCAGAACAACACCATGTCACTAAACCCTAGATTTGATTAGTTTTTTCCTTTTTAATTTTATTTAATTAACGCGACATCAATTTTAATATTAATTATTGGTTATCGATTTTCTTTTTATTTCTTTTTTACTTTTTAATAAAAATAATTTTATTTTTGTATCATGTTTATTTGGTACGTTTTTATCTGTCTTCGTGACATATTTTTAGTCTTATTTTTCGGTCATTTGGTTGTTCTTCTTATTTTATATTTTCTCAGGATTAGATTTGACGATGTCACTACTGATTAAGATGATGCTTATTTGTAATCCACTTCATCTTCCCTGTTATGGAGCCTCAGATTGAATATGGATACGTGATTTTGTGATCGTTGATAATTTGTCATGATGCTCGACTCTGATTTACGATTCTATGTGATCTTCCAATAGTTTAATCCCTACTTACGATTCGTTTACCGATATAATCAAATTTATTTATATCAATTTTTAATTTGAGCCTTTAGATTAGGTTTTTAACTTTTTTTTCATATATGTTCTTATATAATATCTAAATAATATATTCAATTTATAATAATAATTATAAACTCTTATTATAATTTTGAATATTCACGTTTTAACAAAATTATCCGTCTCTATTTGGAATATATATATATATATATATATATATATATATATATATATATATATATATATATATATATATATATATATATATACCTACGGCTAAGGATATGATCATTACCTATTACAAACCGACAACTGACAGACTCCACTAGAAATCTAGAACCCATATAGAAGTTCCAACTCACAAGATATCACGTGCAATGGATATTTCTTACCCTTTTTCTCAACTGATAAATACAATTTATACACGCTCATCACATTCTTACTAAAACACTTTCATTTAACGCGCCACGACAATAATTAAAATAATCTGATTATGAATAATTAATTTAAAATATTCTACATACAAACTAATTTATTTCAGTGTTAAAGAAATTATTTTTTTAGATGTCACATATTCGAGTATCAACGACTGCAATATTGATCGAGTGTTTACTGTCAAATGATTGAGAGTACAAACGAAATGCAACGCGAATTTGCAATAGTGGAGATCGCAATGCGAATTAGATATCGCATTGCGATTTTGTTGGTCATTTTCACAAATCTAAAAAAAATTGGTCAAAATCGTATATTATCTAGGATTTTTTAATCATTAAAGTTATTTTCTCAAATTTAAAATACATAAATACTATATACAGATTAGCAAATAATGGCCACTTTTTTTTAATTTTCAATTAAATTAATACAACTTGACTTACGAGGACGTTATATCCATGTAAATTAGTTTTATATAGATATTTTATGTATGAAATAAATATTTATTCAAAAAATAATAGGATATGATAAAGTAGGGCAGTAGCTTTTCCATGGGATAGATGGACATGTGTTGAAATGTTATTGATAAGACAATAAATTTTTTTTTCTAAATAAAAGCTTATATGATACTCTTTCTATTCCGTCATATAAGACAGTTTTAAAACTTAAATATTTTCTCCTGGGTAAGGCTAAACTTTATTACGAAAACTATTTAATATATAAATTATATAAAATTTAGATTTTATAATTTTATTTTTTATTAATTTAAATAAGTACAAGATAATATTTATTAAAAAATAACTCTTAATCATTTGATATTAAACGCTCTCATCTCATACATTCATGATGCTCTGACCAGAGACCTCAACATAACAATTCATTTACTATCGAGATCACTTGGTGTGTACAATTTAAGTAAATATTTTCCTCAAACTTTTACTTAAAGTTATCATTGAAATCCAGTTGAATTAAATTCATAAACTTCGAATAATTACCGTTCTGTTCTCAAGTGTGAACATTAACCTGATAAAGAAACTCTGGTCAGAGTAAACGTGTCATTTCTAGAACGTGACACGTTATCTATACGAAGCTATTTTCCGAAGTGGACGGACCTATCGTATCCTCTCAACGCCTTCTCCTTTTTCATTATAAAGTTCATTTCAGAATCAAATATCCACCAACTTCGCCAATCCCAACGTTCCTTCTTCCCTAACCATGTCCTTTTGGCCCAATAATCCTTCTCCCCAAATGGTTAGATCAGTTTCGTTGTTTGTTGTTGTTATTCGTTAATCATTTAACAGAAACAATCTTAAGTGTTCAATGAGATTCTGTTCATGGGTATGGCTAATTCTCTGCTTTACTTGACAAAACAGGGTCCTCAGGGTGTCGTTTCCATGGATCTGGAGGAGGTTGCAGTGGAAGTACAGAGAGAGGTGACTCGGAGGATGGATGAGTCAGCAAGGGCTGATTTCGTTGCATATGTGGACAAGGTGAGGGAGCGCACCATGCTTATCACAATGAAACGGGACTTGCTAGCCCAGGAAGCGTCCAAGGCTAAATTTGCGGACGAGTTCATGGTTTTCCTCGGAGCGATTGACAGCGGAGATCTCGAGACTCTCCAGCGTTTCGACGAGAAAGATATGAAAAATACTATTTTGACAATGATGGACGGTGACCCCGGCGATGAGGGAGTACTTGAATGCTTTTACGGTAAAAGAAATAAAATTGCTCCGATGAAAAAGACCCACTTGGTTGGTTGGCTGATTTTGTTCTTTGTTGTTGTTTATGTAGGAGACGAGGTTTCCAAAATCGGATTGGGACCGCTGGGTTTTGAAGAAAAAGTTGCCACGGATGTAATCGTAGCCAGTAGTGGCGGCGAGAAAGGAGGATTTGCCGGCGGCGAATACGGTAAAACGCTTGTTGAATTGAAATCCGGCCGCTTGTTTTGTTCGGAACACATGCATTTAGTAGAGTCTGTATATAAATTCATGGTTTTGTGGTGGTTGCGTGCAGAGCGCGTGGGAGCCATGGTTGATGCTGTTGAGAAACCAAACGGTGACGGCGATGATGCCAGAAGCGCCGGTGAGCAGGGTGGCAGCTGCTGCAAGAAGAGTGATGGGTTCTAATAATTAGCAATTGCATTTATACGCAAAAGCTACACGGTGTGTTTAGAATTCCCAGGTTGCTTTCATCGTTGATGAATGTTTACGGTTTATGGTTTGTAATAATTGGTTTATAATCTATGAGTCGTTGCTGGAACAATGTGTTTATGTTTGCAGCACGGTGGTTACAGAGCTTTCGTGCTAGTTTTTATTAAATGGAAAAGATATTTTAGAATAAATATTGAGATTTGAATCCATACAAGTTGAATCGGATCTCTTAATCATGACTATGTTATAAACCTTGCTCTTAATTTCCCTCTGAGGTTTCTAGGTACAGGAGGGATAAGGTGAAGAAGGATAGATTGAAAATTATCTTTAAATATTTTTTTTTATATTTATATTGAAGTAATAAAAGAGAGAAAAAAAAATATGTTGATTATATATTAAAAAAGTATGATGATGACAGAAGGAAAGGTTCCACGTAATGGACAACTTGTCCAATTATTTTATGAAGATTTAAACTTGAGCCGCTCATGAGCTCGAAGGTAATCCAATAAATTAAACTTTTATTTTATCATTCAAACTTTTAAAGTAAAAAAATTAAGTATTCAAGTTAATTTTTTTTGGAGGCACGTTTCTGACATTAACATTTATACCGCAGTAGATCTAGAAATTTAAAATTAAAGTTTAAAATTATTTTTCATTTTTTTCTCCTCGCCATATTATATTAAATTGAATTTAACAATTTTTTTAAAATGATAAATATACAATTGTTCCTAGTGAAAGCTCAATACATCTTCTGATTACTTGGAACATCACGTCAGTTAAAATATTTGTAAAACACGTGTCACATTTTATAATATTTTAAAAATTATATTTAAAAAAATTAAAATTACTAGATTTTACATAAGAAACCCTCCAATAAGATATGGCGATGCTAAACATCAAGCAACTGTATGTGATTTGGGTTAGGAATTTAAGGATTAGTGTTAGGAATTTGGGTAATGGAAATTTAGGAGTTTGGAGATTTGGGCTGACGGAAAGGGTGACTTTCTGTCATTTGATGATCGGGACGACAGCGACAGTCAGAGATTACCAGTGACAGTAATGAGAGTTTGAGTTTTTTTTAAGAATTTTAAAGAACTTTTATTTTGTTAAATAAAATTTTCAAAATTTTATAAACATGACACGTCATATTTTTAGTGGTTGATAGATATTTTTTACGATCGTGACGGATGAAATATCTAAAATGATAACGTTAAAAACATTAGACATTTACATTGATAAAAAACACTTTAAACACCTAAAATAAAGAAAATGCATAATTTAGATACTTATTTTTATCTAAGCCAAATTTTTATTCGGCCTAGTTCAAAATAAAATTTTGTTTACCTATACAGCTGTACTACTAAACCTCCAATTATATTGACTCATTAATTAATTAAATATTAATTGTACATATTATTAAAACTTTTATAAAAAAAATATCTGATAAAAACATATTAATTGTACATGTTATTAAATCTAATGTGTCAATGGAAGCTACCCAATCAAGTCCAATAATGTATTTTATGTTAAAATTAATAAATCTGACAAGAATATTTTCCCAACGAGACTTCTACTTCCAAATGGACTACCTATATAATAAATTTACCGTTTAACATTTATATTAATATTAATAATTTTATTTTAATTTCATGTTAAGAGTTAGTTAAACATTAACATAATTAAAAAATATTAAATTATAATTTATATTATTATAATAATATTTTTATATTTTTGCATGAAAAAAGCATCAACTTAAAATTCGTTTGATAATCGTTGAATCATGCGTGTCCCCATCATGACGGTTGTTATTGTGCTTTTTCCTTTAAGTTTTGACCGAAACAAAATACTAAAAGCTCCGTTCATCATATTTAACAATAACAAAACAATGAGAAAATTGCATCGTATGCCTTTAAATTATAACTTTTATTTTAAATTGGTAACTAAACTTTTTAGTATTTTAATTTTATCTCTAAATTATGACTCATTCTAAATGAGTCCTTAAACTTTTGAACATTTTAATTTCATCTCTAAACTATGACCCTCTTTCTAAATCAGTCCCCAAACTTTTGAATATTCCAATTTCATCCAAATATGTAATTAGTTCCACCCATAGTTTAACCTAAATTTTATTTTTTTTTTCAAACATATAATAATATAAATTGGTCTAACGATTTTATTAACAAGGGATGCAATTAATATGTACGTATATTTTGGGATGAAATTGGAATGTGCAAAAGTTTGAGGACCAATTTAGAATGAATGTCATAGTTTGAGGATGAAATTAAAATATTCAAAAGTTTGAGGACTAATTTAAAATGATAGTCATAATTTAGAGATGAAATTTAAAATGAGGATCATACTTTGAGGATATGTGATGCAATTAACTCTAAAACAATTACAAATTGTAAACGAAACACCAAATTTTAATCTTAATCATACTTGTAAAAAATATTTTTCAACTGATATTATATTAAATAATATCCATACGTCTTACTAAATATATCTTTTTTTATTTTTAAAATTATCTCGTTCAAAATGTTCTATTATAAAAATCAACAAAAAATAACATTTATATTTCTTTTTTACCTTTATATGTCACATTCTTTTACATCTATTAAAATAAATCTATCAATCATTTTATAGGGATAATTTTTACATCTATTAAAATAAATCTATCAATCATTTTATAGGGATAATTTTGTTATTTCTCTTGATCAAATACATCTTTTCAAACTATGTGCATATTGCATAATCAATATAGAACACAGATTATAAGACAAAGTGAGTAATCGTTTTATACTTTATAAAAAGTGATCAAAATTCTTCCGAAGCATAAAAGCCTAAACTTACATTTCGAAGAGATTTGCCGACTAAAACAGAAGAAATTACCAAAGATGTGTATACGATGCGTAATAATAGACTAACCATTGGCTCCAGTGGAGAGGCAACCCATTCGTCTTCTCTCTCTCTTCCTTTGACTAAATTTCAGCAGTGGGAGTGCATATATATATATATATATAATTTAAACCTATATACAGTGAAACAAAATGAACAGAAACGTCCACGTTGCCAGCAACCGCTGATGAAGTTTTCTGATACTGAAAAAGAACTTATAGGACTTCCCTTTTCAGATTTTGTTCAATGATTATTAGTATCTAAATTATTAGTTTATTAGTTTATAGGGTAAACTACGCGTTTAGTATATAAATTATCATTTTTTATATGTTTTAGTATCTAAATAATTATTATTAATTTTTCAAAATCATATCTAACATATAGTTTTTGTTTCATTTTAGTACTCCCATCATTAAAACCTTAACAGATAGGTTGATGTGATATAATATCGATGGATGAATGACCAATCTGAACAGTGGACCACGAGAGAATGATGAGTCGATTAACATAGTCTAGTTTCAGACCCATTGAACAGTGGACCATGGAGATCAGATGATGGAGAAATTGAAGAGTTCATCGTCAATTTGGGGATATTGAGGCATTTCCCTAGAAATGGAGGCTGAAATTACGTTTAGTGGGTAAAAAAAGTGCGAGTTGGATAGTTTGGGCTTAATCAGCCGAAGGATGTGAAGGCCTACAACTGTAGACGCGACGACCGATGATCCCGTTCGTTAAGTTTTTAACGGCAGGATGCTAAAATGAAACAAAAACTAAACGTTAGGTATGATTTTTTTTAAAAAAATTAAAAATTATATACTAAAATGAATCGAAACTGATAGTTTATGTATTAAATGCGTAGTTTATCCTAGTTTATAATGTTAATTTTTTTTCATAATAGTACTAGCGACAGGTTCAAATATTTTTGAACGAGGGCATACACATATTATAGTGGCAGGTTAAAAAATATTGAAGGAGGGCATACATGTATTAATAATATAAAATTTTTATAACATAAATAAAATTTCAGGATGGACACAAACAATAAAATAAATAACTAACCGAAAAATTCAGATTTCACGTACCATCCTAAAGTAAAGATGAATCCCCCACTAAGTAGCACGATATTTACTGAACCAACACACCTTAAGTTTCAAATAGAGTTCTCTCATCTCCCTTTTGGTTTCTAGGATTTCTTCTACCTCTTATGTGTAATTATTGAACTATTGATATTGTTTAAGAGATTTAATGTCGCATCCTGATTTTTGGTAAATTATTAAATTTAAATATTAGAGATTTATTGAATTATTTTGAATTACGACCAGTTTGATATAAATTTTGATGACTAAAATTATTATTAAATCATGTCATATCATCATTTTCGTTAAATCAACAATCAAATCTAAAGACAGATGACCAAAAATATAAATGAAATCTAACGTTAGGTATAATTTAAAGAAAAAAAAAGTTGGATAAATAAAACAAAATTGCTTTATGCAAAAATTATTTTGACTAAATATTAAATATCGAAGGTGAAAGCAATATAAAGAAAAAGAATCAATTTCAAAGTGGGACAAGGTTAAACATTAAGGTAATGTTTGATTTGCAGAAAGATCATTATTAAAGTGATAATTGTTTTCGAATTTGCAATTTCGTGTTTGGTTTTCCATCATACCCTCCTGCGGTAATAACTTATTACCAACACTAGTGCTTTTTGGTTAAAATGGGGGAATGACATTCCTCCAAATTCTTATGTATTTGACAATTTTTGATATTTTAGACAAGATTGTCCCTGAAATAATGAGTTTTTCCATGTAGATCCTTCTCAGTTTATTAATTTAGTCATACTTTGAAACAATTTAATAAATGTAATCATTCATATATTTTTTTAGAAAAAAACCCATTTTTCTCTTAAATTGCTTGCTCTTCTTCTAGAAATGTTATATTACTTTCTTGTTAAAATAATAGTTAAACAGTGTCTTGTTACTACTTTATGGCAAAATCCAATTATTCAATTATCACTTTGATCCTATGAACTCACTTGATTTGATAATATTGTAAAAAATGACTGAATTGATGGAGTTTTAAATATGAAGGGTTAAATTTATTGAATTGTTTCAAATTAGGATAAAAGTGATAGATTGTATATATTTTGGGGACTAAAAATGTTATTGTTTTAGACTAGGGTTGGATTAAGGGGAGTAGACGGGTTAGTCACCCATGAAAATTTTAAATTATCATATATTTTAGATATTTTTTTATATTTTATATTAATAATCTATTTTCGTCCTCTTAAAATTTTATAAGTCTATCTCTC